CGGCAAGAGAGCAAGGAAACTGGCGGATGCGATGAAGGTGATCATCGAGGCACTGACAATGATGAACAAGAAGGTGGATGCAGACATCTACACCTCCTTATTTTTGTCCGGTGGCTCTTAGCCTCACTCCGGCCACCCCTACACCTCCTCCTCTGGCACGTTCGACCACCACAGCCGTGGTTGAGGACCATGGCAGCCACGTGCTCAATGATATGTTGGAGGGGTAAAAAATTGCCTTTTCTTTTTTGGCCGACGCATTGATGATGGTTTGCGGCTATGGGTTTGAGCTTTTTGTTGTTTATTGTAGTGTGCAGGAGGGAAACTTCATGTCTCAATTGCATTCATCGCACATCTAAGGCCTCGAGGATCTAGATTATGGTAGTTCCAGGTATGCTCAAGAAGAAGATAATGAGGAGATCGGTGATCCCGAAGTGGAGGAGGTCAAAGATCCCGTGGATACTCAAGCAAGCACCAAGGGATCAAGAACACAAAACTATTCCCAAGACAAAGACATTTCATTGTGCCATGCTTGGATTAACATGTCGCTTGATGCATCAGTTGGCACGAATCAAACCAAGGAGAGATTTTCGAGTAGAATTGAAGACTACTATTGCAACATTGTGACCATTTCATAGAACCGCACTCAAGACACTCTTGGCCATCGTTGGGGCACCATCCAAGAGCAATGTAATCGATGGTCTGGTTGTATCGATCAAGTCAACCATGAATGACCAAGTGGGGTGAAAATCATGGAGTATGGGCCTGTCATCCAAGCCACATGCAAGTATCACAACAAGAAGAATAATTCCAAGACCTTCATATTGCACCATTGCTACAAATGAGCTAGTTACCAATGAGTAGTGGATACGGAGAATGGTGGTTGTGATGAGCACGAAAGTGCTTGATTTTGTGTTACATGCCTTTGGTAGTGCTCGAGACATGCTATATATGTTTGTGGTGATTTTGGATGAAACTTGATCGTTGTGGTGCCTTTTCGATCAACGCTATGCATGTTTTAATTTGAGAGCACGAGATTAACTATTCAGATCCAAATAGTCAGAATACAAAAATAAACAAATTTCTCGATCGGCTTCCTCCTATCGGGATCGGGAATAAGCTTTGGGGGAAGATGAAGGCTAAAGTTATATCTCACTTAAAGCGAGATGGAAGCTCGTCTCGCCTGAAGGGTTTTACTCTTTCGTCATTTATGGGCCGATCCGCTTCGATGTTCTTTTTTGTTCGTTGGCTTCGCGTTGGCTCTGATGTTCATTGGTTAGGTATGGTTCTTTAATTTCTTTGTTTCTTCATGATATTCTTCTATTTTTCATCCTTTTTTCATTTTTCGTTTTCACTGGATGTTTTTCTTTTATTTTCTTGTTTCTTCCTCTCTTTCACCATTTTAATTTTTTTCATTGGTTTTGTTTTTTTGTTTATTTGTTTCTTTTTCTGTTCTCACCGATTTTCTTCATTTCTCTTTGCTTTTTTATTGGTTTTCATAGGTTACCTTTTTGTAGAACACATGTCTACTTTTTTCCATACACAATGTACATTTTTAGTGTACACTTGAATCATTTTCTTGATACACGTTGAACAATCTTTAAATACACAATGTACATATTTATTCTTAAATACATGTCTTGAACACTTTTCTGAATACAAAGTAAAAAAATATCAAATACACCGTGAACATTTTTTTAATGGAACAAACATTTTTTCACACACAATTTACATTTTTGTTTACATCAGGAACATTTTTATATACACGCTTAATTTTTTAACTATAGAAATAACATTTTTTTAATATTTACTTTTATGTAGTGAACATTGTACATTTTTCATATACAAAAAAACTTTTTTTATACATGTTTGTTATTTTTAAATACATGGCTAACTTTAAAAAAAATGTTTTGAGGTCTACTTATGCGGACAGATTGTAGATCTTTCGTATGTTATAGGATTGTAAGAAAAAATTTATACTTGTTAAACATTTTTCAAATACATGATTAACTCTTTTTTAGATATATGTTCTGATGTCTACTTTTTTCATATGGATTGTACACTTCTCGTATACATAAATAACATTTTATTATAGACATTTAACATTTTTCAATTACATGATTAACATTTTTTCCGATATAGTACCTCAGTCCGGAATTACGACAAGTAATTCCAGATGGAGGGAATCTGTTTTAGTGTCTACTCCGTCCGATACATATTAATAATATGGAACGAAGGGAGTATATTTTCTTCATACATATCGTACATTTTATATATACATAAAATACTTTTTATACATGTTTTAAACTTTTTTAAGTGCATGATTAACAGAATTAACATTTTTTAATATATGTTTTTAAAAATTAGTGTAGATATGTCGGGACTATCTTTTTTGATACAGATTGTACATTTTCGGTATACATAAAAATCATTTTATACACGTTTATCATTTTTTAAGTAGTGATTAACATGTTTTTCAAGTGTTTTAAACATGGGAACATTGTTAAATGCAACACAACATTTTTTTATACTAAGCAAATCAATTTTTTAATAATGTATACATATTTTTAAAAAATTTCCTAGACATTTTTCTGAAACATGGAAATATTTTCTCATTGCCACAAACATATTTTTTAAGTTGTCAGCATTTTTTATTACTATGGTAACATTTTC